AAGAGACACTGTTCACTTCATCAGATACCGGACGATGTATTGCGATATTCAAGAACGTTAGAAGAATTACTCTTGGATGCCAATCATATCAGAGATTTACCTAGGGTAAGAATTCGCCTTTATCTGCTTCTCTCTTATCTCCCAATTCTTTTATTTTCCTTACACAATGCTCGCATCAAACGTGTTCGTGTAATTATAAACTGTGTTTTTGTTACACTAGCCAACACCCCCGCCAGGTTTCGGGATGTTTTTTAAATCAAATCCATCAGTCTTAAGCGTTTAATTACCGTTTTTTATCACACAAAAACTTATTTTTTGCTAATTATAAAGATGTATTTGATGTCATGTTGTGATGTAACTGATATGACTTGTTTGTTTGTTTGTGTGATGCTTAATTAGACAATAGTTGTGTTTTTTGTTTTCTAATGAAATTGCAGGCTGGAATTGAATGAAAATTGGAGTTGATTAATGAACTCCAATTAATCTTTTGATGCTTACATTTATGTAAATTTATTGGTGGTGCTAAATCTGAGATGACTTTTCTCTAATTTATTCGAGATGGAATCATGTGATAGATCTTGGTGCCCGCGGGTGGAGAAAAATTAACAAAAAAAGATTGAGTAAAGGAATTGATGTGATGTTGCTTAGTTTTGATCAGTTTGTATTTCTATCTGGAGTCATATGGAGACTAGCCTTTTTGATCCGTTTCGTTTGCATTTAAAGCTTTTATATGAATTATTTTGATTTATTAACAGATAAAAGTAATTTTATACAAATTAAATACAAACCATAAATGGTAACTTTATTACTAGTTATAGTTGTGAGTATTTGTATCGTAATTGCTTGTAGTTTATATTTAATTTGAAAAAAAAAAATATGTGCCACAATATACTTGATAAGTTTATTTTTTTATTAATAGAACACTGGTAATTTATTTCTTATATTTATTTTTAAATAAGTACTTCAGCATGAATTTTATTCTTAACTCCTGCACAAACTCATATTTATATCTGATTACCAGCTAGAATTTTTTATATAATTTAAAATTTGATTGGAAGGATATTTAAAAAGTTTATATAACTTTATCTACAGATTTAATTAAAATATATTTGCTTGGGACAGATTTGTACAGACTGTTAGTGAAAGTCAATTGATATATAATTTGCATACATAAGAATTTCTTAAAATACATTTTTTTGTACAAAATTCTTTTGATTTTTTAATAATAAATTTTAAATCTTTAGATTCATTTGCATAATTTTAATTAAATTAATTTGCATCACCAATTTTTTTTCTTGATGAAATTCATTTACTTGATAATAAAATCTGATATATAAGTTGAAAAATTACTTTTAATTCTGCAATGTAAAAAAATGTAAACTTTTGTGAAGTTGTTTTTAAATTATTGAATATATAAACTTAGAAAGTTACACTGTTAGTATATAGGACATTGATTTCATCCTTGTTTTATTAGAATAATGTTGAAAGGAGCTAATAAAACTGAATTCCTTAGAATTTTGATATATTTTTTACTTATTTATTTTTTTTAAATTTTGGAGAAAAAAATGCTTAAATAACATTTTGTATATGCAAAAAGCATCAAGTATTCAATATCATATGGAAAATCCATTGCAAATTTTGCTTGGAATATCAACAAAGATTCTGTCATAGCTTTACTTAGAATGGTTTGTTATTGCACAGGTAATTTGTTGTTTGCATGCTTCATTTAACATAGTACAATCTCTTATTATAGCATAGTTTAGAACAATGCTACATATTCTTTTGACAGTAAACATGACCATGATTTGGAAATTCAAATACATTATTTAAAATATTTCTATATATAAAAGTTCATACTAATTTAGAAAGAAATTATAGCCACTGGATAATATTTAAAACAAAAGTGTTCCAGTTTTAATATATAAGTTACATTAAAACATGATATTGATAAATGTACCTTTATCAAACATTAACAATATACTAAATTAAACTGTGTTAATATTGATTGATTATCAAGTTTATTAACGGTTTGAATAATTTGGTATTATTGGTAGGTGTGTTGCCATCTGTTGGACGTATTAATGATTAAATAATTTAGGTTAAAAATATTAAAAAAGTTTGGTATGTGATATTAATCTATATTATTGAATATTCTAATTAATTTGTTTTTTTAAATTATCTATCTACATTTTTAGATATGAATTTGTACTTGATTTAATAAAATTAAGAGAAAAAAATTAAAGAATTTGTTACAAAAATTTTCTTGCTCTGTTTACAAATTATGTTTCTTCCTAATATTATATTTATACAGAAATTATTCTGTAATATGTAAAAGTGTTGATCACTATACAGTTGTACTTATAAAAAAATACTGTTGAGACATTATGTAGATGACTGTGGATATTTTATATACAAAAAATGCAAGACAAAATTTAAAATATATATAATGAAAAAAGAAATAAGTGAATATTCTGCATGGCTAACTTTCAGCAGAGAATATTACTTTTTTAAGACATTCAGTTTTTTCCTCTTGTGATTTCTAAACTAGTTTACTACAATTTAAGGAATATATATATATATTCCTTATTGTATGTATATATATATATATATATATGTATATAATATATGAATGTAATTTATATCTTTACAAACATTAATTTTTTAAAGGTTCTGATTGATTCTTCTCAACAGATACATAATACTTATTGGCAAAACTGATTTTGGCATCTATCATAATCCATCATTAAGAGATCAGAGTTTATCTTTAAATTATTTATAAATTTATACCTTTACCAAATCACACGTTTTTAATATTTATAATGATTTAAATGTCAAAATTAGTTGGCAGATTCATCATTCAATAAATTATACATAATTTCAAGAGATAACTATGTATATTTATATAATTTGTTAGTGAAGTTGTCTAATTTATCTCGTACTGTCTGTCTATGAAATAACTTTATCTTGCATAGTCTACACCAAAGAAAATTATCTCTGGTTCATGTTTATTCTCAAGAGGTCTATCAACTAATTTTAACCAGAAGGTTATATTAAGCTTAATAAAACTGCAAAAAATATGAGTGTGCCGTAAGTGTGAAGACTGAAATAGAAATGGGACAACAGTGCTGTTGAGCCTTCCAAAAACTGAACTTATAATAAACTGATAAAATGCCAGAATTTAATTTGTAGACTGAACCCTGTATATACATTCTGAATAATTTTTCTTATATATAAATTTAGTTCCTATTGTGACAATAATAATGAAATAAATAAATCATATCACTTGATGCAGTGAAAAATTTGTTTTGGATGAAAAGAATGTTATTTTACTTGAAAAAAAGCATACGTTTCTTGAAGCATTGCTCATTTAACAAGTAAAATATTTATTATTGATGTTTTAGTTGAAATGGTAACAATAAGGCTAAGATTAAACATCACATAATTTATTAGAGTATTAAGGAATCAAATGATATTCAAAATAATGTAACATAATTTATGTTACATTATTTTGAATATCATTAAGTCTGATTAATACGTCATCCATATCCATATACAAGTGTAAAAGTCCTATTTGATGTAATATACAAAACAAAAGAAATTTAATTTCAATATTAATAAAAAAATCAGTTACTTCAGTTAAGTAATAAATTGTTTTATAAATAAGGAATTAAAGCTTGAAAGANGCCCCACCAATTTTTTTTCTTGATGAAATTCATTTACTTGATAATAAAATCTGATATATAAGTTGAAAAATTACTTTTAATTCTGCAATGTAAAAAAATGTAAACTTTTGTGAAGTTGTTTTTAAATTATTGAATATATAAACTTAGAAAGTTACACTGTTAGTATATAGGACATTGATTTCATCCTTGTTTTATTAGAATAATGTTGAAAGGAGCTAATAAAACTGAATTCCTTAGAATTTTGATATATTTTTTACTTATTTATTTTTTTTAAATTTTGGAGAAAAAAATGCTTAAATAACATTTTGTATATGCAAAAAGCATCAAGTATTCAATATCATATGGAAAATCCATTGCAAATTTTGCTTGGAATATCAACAAAGATTCTGTCATAGCTTTACTTAGAATGGTTTGTTATTGCACAGGTAATTTGTTGTTTGCATGCTTCATTTAACATAGTACAATCTCTTATTATAGCATAGTTTAGAACAATGCTACATATTCTTTTGACAGTAAACATGACCATGATTTGGAAATTCAAATACATTATTTAAAATATTTCTATATATAAAAGTTCATACTAATTTAGAAAGAAATTATAGCCACTGGATAATATTTAAAACAAAAGTGTTCCAGTTTTAATATATAAGTTACATTAAAACATGATATTGATAAATGTACCTTTATCAAACATTAACAATATACTAAATTAAACTGTGTTAATATTGATTGATTATCAAGTTTATTAACGGTTTGAATAATTTGGTATTATTGGTAGGTGTGTTGCCATCTGTTGGACGTATTAATGATTAAATAATTTAGGTTAAAAATATTAAAAAAGTTTGGTATGTGATATTAATCTATATTATTGAATATTCTAATTAATTTGTTTTTTTAAATTATCTATCTACATTATATACTGTATATTACAATACATACATATGAGCGTGAGGATGTACGTATGTATTGTACTACTTATTAATCTATGGGTTTAGTAAATGTACACCGGTAATTGTACGCTGCATACCTTTCATACCGGTAGTCGTAAACAGCAAAACTTTATTTTTAAATGCGTGTTTATAGTTATTTATATTTACAATTCCATTTGTTTATTACAAAGTCAGCTTTTTCGAAATTATTTCTGTACTTTTTGTTATTAAAACGCTGGAAATGTCTCATCACTCGAGCTACGAGACTCTAAATAGGGATTAAGTTTATATCTTACTTTCAGTACAATAACTTTAATATAATCTGTACGCCGGTATAATCAGTTACAAACGATCGGTAACGATACCAGTAACAAATTTCGTCTACGAAGGCACGTCTACTAAATGTTTTCCATTTTTGCCACTTGGGGGTGCGGCGTAGCGAGTGATCAGAACAGGGATTGGCTTTTTGTCTCACGACTGGATTGACATGTTTGGATCGTTACTTTTTACCATACACGGCGCAAATTCGTTTATTATATGCCAGAAATGAAATGTTTTAGCTTATAGTGATTTAATTAATCGATATGTTTCGTTGTATACCGATATTTCGCGGTTGTAATCGGCAAGTCGAGTGTATAGACAAGAGACACTGTTCACTTCATCAGATACCGGACGATGTATTGCGATATTCAAGAACGTTAGAAGAATTACTCTTGGATGCCAATCATATCAGAGATTTACCTAGGGTAAGAATTCGCCTTTATCTGCTTCTCTCTTATCTCCCAATTCTTTTATTTTCCTTACACAATGCTCGCATCAAACGTGTTCGTGTAATTATAAACTGTGTTTTTGTTACACTAGCCAACACCCCCGCCAGGATTCGGGATGTTTTTTAAATCAAATCCATCAGTTTTAAGCGTTTAATTACCGTTTTTTATCACACAAAAACTTATTTTTTGCTAATTATAAAGATGTATTTGATGTCATGTTGTGATGTAACTGATATGACTTGTTTGTTTGTTTGTGTGATGCTTAATTAGACAATAGTTGTGTTTTTTGTTTTCTAATGAAATTGCAGGCTGGAATTGAATGAAAATTGGAGTTGATTAATGAACTCCAATTAATCTTTTGATGCTTACATTTATGTAAATTTATTGGTGGTGCTAAATCTGAGATGACTTTTCTCTAATTTATTCGAGATGGAATCATGTGATAGATCTTGGTGCCCGCGGGTGGAGAAAAATTAACAAAAAAAGATTGAGTAAAGGAATTGATGTGATGTTGCTTAGTTTTGATCAGTTTGTATTTCTATCTGGAGTCATATGGAGACTAGCCTTTTTGATCCGTTTCGTTTGCATTTAAAGCTTTTATATGAATTATTTTGATTTATTAACAGATAAAAGTAATTTTATACAAATTAAATACAAACCATAAATGGTAACTTTATTACTAGTTATAGTTGTGAGTATTTGTATCGTAATTGCTTNCAAATAGATAGATATATTATAAATATTGATATATTATTTGTTATTTATTTGTTTAGTAATTGGTCACTTAATATATATATAATTGTTTTATTTAGTTATTAATTGTTTAAAATAGTTATTATCATATGATATTTGTTATCATAGCAAATATAAAAATTAATAATAAAATAAAATTTTAAAAAATTTACTAGCAATTCTAATTGATAAAACTATTTAAAAATGCTATTTGTTATTTAAAAAGAATTTTCAATATAATTTTGTAAATAATTTAATTTGAAATGTATTAAATTTTGATGACATCTGTATTTTTAATCTATTTTCTTTTTAATCTTTTAAAAGTATAGAATGTATTTCAATTAGTTGCATTTCCAAGTTATTTTTAAATAAATCATCTTTGTCATTTATCATAATTACTTTTCTCTCACTCTCTCTTTCTCTTCCAATATTCTTTGTAAAATGTGAATGCACTTTTATTTTTAATTTTATTTACAAACTGTATTCAACTATTTTAATTAGGATTTACCCAATTTACGCTTATATTCTTTTTTAGGTCATGTTCAGATAGATTTTTCCTCTCTAGGTTTCACTTTAGTGCAATTTCCTCTTGTTTCTTTTAGTATAATTCCTATCCTATGATATTTTATTTATATTTATAGTTAATTTACCTCATTCTTATACATTTTAGTGGCATTTGAGGCATTTAAGCATTAGTTGTTTCCTCAATGATATTTTTTGTTAGGAGTTTTTTTTTATAAATTAAGATTATTATATGAATAAGAATTGACTTTCACTAGAAAGTAAAAAAGGAAATTTATCCTAAAATATAAGGTGTTAAATAACTTAAATAATAAAAGAAAAAACTAATGAAAGATAATGCAAACCTATATGAGGATCTACTTATCTCAATATAATGTAGATGCATAATGCCATGCAATGTAAGTGGTATGCAAATTATTGATCTTGATGGTTTTATATTGAAACTCCGTATGATGCCAAAACAAAATCTACAATGGACAATAGAGAATTCTGTGTTGTTCTGTCAATTTATTAACAAATGATTATAAAAATTTCTCGCTTCCCAATCATAACTTGCATAACTTGCATTGTTTAAAATCATAATTATTGTAATCAGTTTACTTGTTTTATTAATTTTTTTATCTAATTGTACCTATTTCATCAATGGGGTGTAGATATGTTACAAAATTCAATTAAAATAAAGGTTTTCTTTGTAGTTATGATTTTTTAAAGTATTTTATTTTAATTTTTTCAGAAATCAGATTTTTGTACTTAAAAATGTTGATATTTGTGATATGAACCTGCAATATTAATACAATATTCATAATGTTACATTAAGAAAAATACATACATTTGTGGAGATTACTTCTGATTAATGTGTGTACTTTTTTAGTAATGTCTTATTGATGTTATGTGAGATAATCACAGCTACAAAAAGTAAATTTAAGCACTTCTGTTACAATTAATATCTCTAGAAAGATTCCATTAATATTCATTTTGGAATAATTCTGTAAACATAAACACTGATGAAATATACTTAGATTTGTTTTTGTTTTTTTTTTTTGCATTTAATTGTTATCTGGGATAACATCATTAAATCTGTACCAACCTGAAGTTGTTTCTGTACATTGAGATACAATTCAATAAACTAGAAGTCTTTACTAACTTTTCATCCTGGATTTTTATTGTCATACAACTTTTACAATATCACAATGATAAAGGAACTTTTAAAACTTTTAAAGCAACTTTACATAGTTCTAGATTGGGAAGAACCTGTAAAGAAAACTTCATTCCATTACTGTTTAATTATGTTCTTGTGGTTAAAGGAGGACATACTAATGAAGACCCCAAATTAAAAGGAATATAAATTATAAGGAAATTAAAAGGAATATAATATAAATATAAATTTAAAAGGAATTAAATTACCATGCTGTTTGCTCATATTGCTATTAGATGTAAAAATAGATTTAAATCATAATTGTTTAAATGCTGTTTCATTATGTTTTTAATCTAATGTCTCTTATTACATCATACGCAAAGAAACACATCAGACTAAAGTGTGTTTACACAGCACAAATTCTAAGTTAAATTTTGTACCTGAAACTATTAAATTCTGGTATGCAATTAGAAAATACTGTAATTCTTATTCTTATAATGTTGAGATGATAACTGTATGAATGTGAGAAATTTTTTCTACAGTTTATTTTCAAGTTCAGTTATAAGAATGCTAAATTGCTTATAATTTGTTCCTGCTTTATTTATTTTTCTTAAAATTCTGCATAAGCAAATAGTAATTATTATTTTTGTTTATAATAATAATGCATACTTTTAATTATAAAATGTTCTGTAATTTTAAACTCTACATTAAAAATTTATGCATATATTTTCTTAGAATCTTTATGAATTTTTAATTAATTCAAAGAAATGCAAAATTTCTTAAATAGAACATTATTTGAAGTTGTAATTTATGTAATTTTTAATGTGTTTTTTTAAATGACAAATAATAGGCACATTATACAAAATGTAATTATTCTCAAACTGAATGTCAATAAATTAAATAAAATCTGATATTTACCATGAAACTGTTTAATGAAAAAGTTATTAACTATTTTTATCATTTTAATTACAGTGATTAAGTGATCATCATCAAATTTATAATGTAATCAAAAATATTTTTACCTTTTATTATATACTGTACTAGTTAATTACATTTGATTCAGATTTGATATATTTCTATCAAATCTGAATCAAATGTTTTCAAATTCTGTATGTTGTTTTTATTTTTTAAATGTTTTCATACAAAATCACTAACTACTATTGCATTTTGCAACTCCTAGACATTGGTGCAGGTTTCATCCAGCTAGAGTAGCTATCACATCTAGTTCATTAAAGAAGTCTGTAACATATCTGTGTTTTCCACAAAATTTAGAATTATTCCACCAAACTTTTTATTTTACTTATATCAAACTTCTTATTTTACTGCATGAATGAGTCTGAGAGAAAGACAATTCTCTCTTTTCTTCATCTAAAGGTATTCTTTTTCAAATATCAGTTTGTACTTCATTTACCATATATAAATATTTTTAGTATGTACTAAACAAAAATGTTTTTTCTTTTTACTAAAATATTTTAATCTTTTTAAATAATATGATTTGTTTTTAAATTGCAAATAGATTTATTACTTAAATATATATATTTTAAAATATTTAAGTAAAACTGTTAAAGAATAATACATTCAATGACAAGAAAGTTACACAGCCAGATAGAATTATCAAATTACTGCAAAACTCAGCTTATAGCTTTGTTTCAGATAGTTATGTAAATAATTACAGTTATGGTCTGATTGCATAACAGGTTATTCCACCAGAGTGCTACTCTAGTGTCCTGTAAAAAGGCTTGCAGAGTCTCACTGTATTCAGAATTTTTAGTGTACAGTACCTATTGTTTGAGGATATTTGAATGTCAGGCATGCCTTTATGATAGTTGACATTATACACAGTGAAGACATTATACACAGTGAACAAAGTTTGAGAAAGGCCAGTTCATTGGACTGAGGAAAGCAGATTGGCTGTTTTACCAAACTGTCTTTCATCTGGTCCAATTCTGACCTGACTGAAGAGGTGTCGCTGGCAGTAGATACATCATGATATGCAAACATGGTACACAGGATTTGGATATTCCAGATATACCATAAGGAGAAATGATTGTGTAAGTGTAAGACAAGCATAAACAGCTACAACATTTTTATCTTCCATTCAGAGGAGATGAAAGCTTTGTTACAAAACCTCATGTTCTCATACCCATTGGTAGGTGATTGGCAGAAGCATACTTGCATGCATGGCTATCACTATGCATCCTGCATTAGCATTCCAACATCATTGACTTCATTTGAATGCCATGAGAAATAAGCATGAACTGCTACAGATTGACAGCATATTGTTTTTAGTCACAAATCCCAATTCTGTTTGAGAATGATTTAACCACAACATTATAGCCTCGAGGGCCACTGGTGAGCATTTCAAACCTACATTTATTGTTGAACTGCACACTGTTTCCATTGCTGGTTCTCCAATATAGGAAGCCATTTTTTGTGATAGTTGGTCACCTCTAATAGTGGTGCAATGGACATTGACAGCATATCAATAGGTTTAAGAAATTCTGTGTCCTCAAGTTGCCTCTTATGATAGGGCTGCACACAGCTATTTTCAGCAAGATAATACTTGGCTATATTGTACATGGCTAGT